AATATAGCCTTACCTTACCGACCCTCCGCATAGTCTTTGTTTTTTGGTTAGAGGAGGAGGATGGGTCTGAGACACTACACGTGTAGTGGTTCGGGTTTAGCCAATGCCCAAATATATTAGTTCCTTCCTGGCTCGCGTTCTCTCCGGACACCCACCGCTGAAAGCAAGAAGGCTGCTGCTGCACGAGGTAAGTTTTTATAAGGAAAAAAAACCTTACCTTCCTGTCGTCCCCCTGGCTTGCGCTCTCACTGCTCCAAACAGTAAGGCCTTATAGTGGTTTATAAGATCATGAGGGGCATGGACAGGGTGAAAAGCCAAGGTTTTTTTTTCCCAGGGTAGAGGAGTCAAAAACTAGAGAATATAGTTTTAAGGTGAGAAGATGAAGATTTAAGAAGGACCTGAAGGATAACTTTTTCACACAGAGAATGGTGCGTGTATGGAACAACCTGCCAGAAGACTTGTTTATTATAATTAGATTAGATTTATTTTTCCCGCCAACATTTAACAATTTCAATGCAATCTTTGACTTCAGATAATTTGGTTAATCTTTTTTTTAATTCTGCTGCTTGCTATTTTTCTTTGTGGGGTGAAAAGATGATGAATGATCTTGAAAATGTCATCAGTTCAAGTTGGATCAAATATTAACTTATTTTGCATTCAAACTTACAAACTAGACATTAAAAGCAGAAAGAAAACAAAAGGTTAATGGCATTTTTTTGATTTTTTGGCTAACTATTGATGGAGTGATTGGATATAAATTTGGGACCAATAATATTTGTAATTAATAATACATTAGTTGCAGTCAATAAGTCAGATCCTTCCCATGGGAAAGCAAAATAAACTTATAACACTGAATATCTTAACATTATGTTTGTTTACTTAGCTCATCATACTATATATATCACAATGGAGCAGGGCAGAGTCCAAATGTTTCTCAAATATAACGTTCCTTCCCTAATAAGGTGACATTTCTCACCCCATTCTCATGATGGAGAAATTGCCAAGCTCATGAACTGTATATTGACAAGGGTGTTAATGGACAGAGATTTCTCTTGACATCCTAATCAAACCACGAGAAGTATCAGTATTGACTTGGCAAAATGCCACATGTTGGGGTAAAATACAACAGAATTAATTTTTTTAAGCTGTGACCTCAATCTATCTTCTATTACGTACTCAATTAAGAAATTGTTTTGCGGACATGATTTATTTGAGCTGACTACCAGATATTTCAAGTGTGATAAATATACCCTTAAACACCATCAAAACTGAAGTAAATTATCAAATGTTCACAGTTCGTGGCATGGTGGGACTGTGCTATGAACAAAGATTGGGAAATCTGGGCTTGTATTCCCAGGAATTTGGAAGAATGAGAGGTGATTTCATTGAAACCTACAAAATACTTAAAGGGACAGACGAAGTAGATTCAAGTAAGATGTTTCTTTTCATTGAGAAACCTAGAACCAGGGGCATAATTTAAAATAAGTGGAATGTCATTTAGGATCAAGATGAAGAAAAAATATTTTAATCATAGGGTTGTGAATCTTTGGAATTCTCTAGCACAGAGGTCTGTGGAAGCACAGACATTGAGTATACTCAAAGTACAGGTTGATCGATTTCTAATTATAAATGGTGTAAAGGGGTATGGAGATTGTGTGGATAAAGGCACTGAAATGTTCAGTTGGTCATGATAGCATTAAATGGCAAAGCAGGTCAACAGGCGGAATGGTCTACTCTTGTTCGTACGTTCCCTCGTTGACCATAAGCAAAGTAGATCTAAAAATCAATTTAACAATAATTTAGCCTGCCTAGATTAGAATGGACAGTTTATGATTATATTTATAGACAGAAGGAGCAGTCAGTTCTCTGTGCTGTAAGGGATAGTCAGGGTGATTCATTTTTGTTGAAAAAATATATTCAATGTCTGCCTAAATCTGCCAATTATTAAGGCAATTCCACTGTATGAATTAATTAAAATGTCAACTAAATTGTACGAAGGATGGGAACTTTTCTAAAATTCTAAATATTATAGTTACACCAGCATAAGTTACAAAGTGACAGAAAACACTGCATTTTCTATGTGGAAAATATCAGGGAAGAAATATTTCAATAATTCTACAGTTATTCTAATAAATATACAGCTACATAAAAAGGACATTTACACTTGCAATTTCCAACTTCAAAGTTGCAAGTAAACAAATTGTACAGTTGAAATGAAATAGAAATTTGTCAAGTCTACCTTAGATAGTGCAAGAAAAACCTTTTATGAGATGTTTTGACTACAAAACCTTTTTATCTTGAAGTTCTGTGTTGCTTTCAATTTCACCAGTCTAATCAAAAGAATTTAAGACTTGACATTTCATTTTATTCAGGCTGGCACTTTTTTTTGATAGGCATATTCATTGTGAAACACAGCTCACTGTCATTATGAAACAACTGGATTTTGTCTCAGTCCACGAGACCATATTAATGATTGCTTCACATGACATTTTGCCTTTGAAAGTTTAAGCACTGCATGTTAACACTTTGACTGTTGAAGTGCAGGATAGTTCATCACTGACCAGCTTAAATTCTGAGCAAAATATTCATCATTGCTGTGAAACAAAATGACAACTGAACATCAGGACATGATTCTCTATAGTGCGCACTGATTTATTATAAAATCATCAGATAGATTATTTGAATGTACACACGAACATAATATAGAAATATGAGGTCCCAAATGATTGTACTGTTCACAACCACGGCTTCGAAAAAGTAAGGTCCTGATCTCAGTTGTGACATAATGAGGTAATAAGCAGAAGGAGTACACCCTCTTACAGGAAGTGAGAGAAATTTTCAATACTCTCCCACTTACTCACTGGGAGAGGGTAAGAAATCAAGTTTCTTCGTTAAATATGAGAACTGAAAAAAATTAAATGCAGAACAAAACACCTAAAATATTTCTGGGGCCTGGTTGGTGTATGTGAGTAGGAATTATATTGCCTTGTTTTGCAAAAATCAATTTCATTTGTGTCGGTATGATATTTAGGTAGATTTAGGAATCAAATACACAATTAAAAAATAAATTGAAGTCTCAGATCATCCATATTCTATCGATATAGTCATCAGGACAACAGACTGAATTAGAACCTCAAGGAGACAAGGTATGATGACCTCCTGTATAAACTTTTTTAGCTGGTATCCTGTTCCTTGTCCAAAGTGCCTGAATTTCACTGCCAAACAGCTACCCTAAAATGATTTATTTGTCAAATTACGCAGCACATACTCTTATTGTCATTTATTCGATAACCCAGAAGTAATGTTTGATGTCACATAATCTCAGGCTGTTGATGATCACAGCCACCACAATATTAAAAAATGTAATTCGGATTATTATATTAAAGGAATACAAGTATACAGGAACCTAACGTGGCTTAGAACATTTGTCCTTATGGTTTGAAGTTAAATTTTCTCTAATCCCTTCACAACCTAACATTGTTAGCTTATTTCCAATCCTATGATTTGAAAAGTCAGTTTTGGGGTGATTTCTCATCTAAGTAGGTTAAATGAGGTAGTTTCAGAGTGATAGCCAGAAAAAAAAATCTTCTTTTATAAAAGTTTAGAACATATACAGTCCAAATGATGTTTTCATTAGTGCTCTATGTCATCTCTGATGATGTGATGTAATCATCCTATCTACAATTCACAATGCCATCAGTTGCAAATACTATTACATCAATCCAAAGTTTGCTTTATGTAACTTTTGATAATCAAACCGCTCAGAGAGATAAGGATCATGCTTATTCAATCGCATCCAGTTTGAACTTTAATCCTAAATTCAAAATGAAGACTACACAATCTTCTCTAATAACTTCTCCTCCCTCCTGTAAAAGATGCGAGTTGTATGGTTTTACATGACGTGGAATGTGTGACAAGTTTGATTATTAATCTTATTTATTCTTAATAAATTGTGCAGCTCATCAGTTTGTAAGTACCTTGTTGCATACGATGATCAGCACATTAAGAATAGGTGCTTTAGAGTTCAAATTCATTGCAAGTAATTTTATTTGTTCAAAGGTTGATACAAATTGCATAGTTATCTAATTATAAGTACACAAATTAGCTCTCAGGAACTAACACTAGCATATTATCTTGGGTTTTGTGCTATAATGGAAGATATTTGAAGCTTTATAAAGCTATTCTTGAAAACTGAATCATTCAGAAGAAATGCCTATACTCAGATATTGTTTCTGTAAGATTTATTAAATCTAGGGCAGAATTTTATTGTATGTGTCATTTGATTGAGATTGGATTGCACTGTTAGGCTTCATTACACATGATAAACAAATAAACAATGAGGAAAGTTTTTTTTCCATCTAGATATCTCTGCAGTAATATGCATAACTGCATACATTACATTAATGTGTAAGGATAAATACATTAATTTCAACATTCTGAAAAAGTGATGTTGTTGACTAGAAAAATTAACTTGGCTTTTCTTTCCAATGATGTCACCACATCTGCTGAGTTTTGTACCACTTTCTGGTTTACGTTAGCTGCATATGTTCTTGGTCTGCCGTACTATGATTTCCTAATTCTTTGGTTCTGTTTCTCTAAATTAGCCATAAATTTTGAAAACAAATTGTACAATCTGAATTTTGATTTGGTGGTGATCAGTTTCTGTATGGATTGTTTAATATCACACTAGATTGTATGTCCAGTCATTTAGCCAGCAACTTCTCTAAAAAACAGTTGCATCAATGTCTTTGAAATGAATATAAATATAAAAATTTACCACTGCCAGTAAGAAAATAAAATACTCAGTTAAGTAGAACATTTATAAATGAAAATGAATAAAACTGAAACCTATCAGTGATCTTGGAATGGCAGGTTTTAAATAAATTTAACTTGCTAACAAAAAGAGCAAAGAACTTTGAATTTAAATTTTAATTGATAGTCTCCAAGCTAATCAGAAATGCAATAAGTGATTCCTTTGAGTTTCAATCTCAAATGTTTACCTGGAGTTTGATAGTTTAGCCTTCTCATCTCCACAGGGTCTGAAGAGTGTGCCAGTAATGGGTCTTTTCCACCAGGAACATCATCCTTGGCAGATGGAGAACTTGCTCTTTTCCTGAAGCAACCACATGGTATTATTACTTCAACTAAAGGTAGATTTGCCCTGATATCTACTACTAACACACAATGTTGTAATTCAGAAACAGAAAGTAGGAGTTTGTTTCACATTTAAGAATTTGCTTCTGCTCAATTATGCAATGTGCATGAAATTTCTTTAAAAATTTTTCCTTTGGTCAGAGCAGCAGAAACTGATTCATTCATTCATTATTTTGTCCAGCACATCACATACCATATGTCCAGATGTATAAGAGCAAAATATTACGTTTACAATACCAGTATATGAAATTGATGTAAAGATGCAGTACAAATGTATACATAAGGAGTGAGCAAGAAGTTAAAGATGATCGATCCTTCATTGGTGTCCTTTTACCAATCCTAACGTTTTATTTGCCAAATTTTAAAGGCTTAAAAGCAAATCCTCTGTTTGCTTTTTTTGATCTATATGCAGAAATTGGAAGAATGGCTGGATTGTTCAGTTTTTATGAGGCTCACCACTTATTGCTGTCTTTTATTTTGCATTCCAATTAAGAAAACATTTTTACAATTAAATCCATTAAGTAAATTAATTGCTGAAAGAAGTCTGTCATTATACTTGAATTATTATTATAAAGCTTACAATGTGCACCATTTTCACTACTACACTAACGGTTTCCACTTTTGAGTTTTACATATCAACTCATTAACTATGCAAAGCAAATTTAAATTATAAAAAAGACCTGTGAATATTGGAAATTATACATATAAACAGATATTTGAAAATTCAACAGATGTGTCCTGGTTAGAACAACCAACTTCCAACAAATAAGCTTCCCACCTCATATTAATTTGTTTTTTCTCAAATCCCTCAATGATGAATCTACTGTGTATTTTCAGTATTTACTACAAGTTTTCATTGTTATTATTTATTCACTCATGGGAAATGGGTGTTGCTGACTGACTAGCATTTACTGCCTGTCCCTAGTTGTCCTTGAGAAGGTGATGAATTGCCTACTTGAACTGCTGCAGTCCACCTGCTGCAGGTTGACCCACAATGCCATTAGGTTGGGAATTCCAGGATTTTGACAGAGCAACAGTGAAAGAACAGCGATATATTTCCAAGTCAGGATGGTATATTGTTCTATTAACAATGGAACCAGTCATATCAGAAAACTTCACTGCAATTTAATACAGGCACGAGAATTTGAATACGCTTGATCAATATAAATCAAGATCTAGACTGTCATTATCACAAACCATATTATTTTGATAGCTGTCATGGATTTTGTTTAACAGTTATGTGCATGTAATATTTCCGATTCTAAAACAGTAAGGAATGGAACTGTTTTGAAAAAGGGTCATTGGACCCAAAACATTAAAGCTGTTTTTCTCCCCACAGATGCTGCCAGACCTGCTGTCTTTTTTCAGCAATTTACATTTTTGTTTCTGATTTCCAGCATTCACTATTCTTTGGTTTCTTGGTAAGGAATGGAACTGTTTCTGTAGCATACCCTTCTATAGAATAATAGAATGCTAGCTCTTGTCCACAGTATGAATCATGCCAGTCTCAGAAGCACCATGATTAGATTCTAAACATCATCCTCTCTCCTAAAGCAGGTAAGAAGGGAGCAAAATGTTAAAGATAATTCACTTGCCACTGGTGTCTTTTTACCAATCCCAATGCCTTACATGCCAAATTATGAATTAAAAGCGGGTTTTCTGTTTGCTTTCTTTGATGCATATGCAAGAATGTCTGGACTGTCCAGTTTAAGGCAATGTTACAGTCGTTAGTAGAAATCTTACCTTTCTTGCTTACTGTATCCATGAGATGGCAGAAAGAGGAAACATCAGAAATGAGTGAATATTTCATATATCCACTGTTAAAATAAACTGTGGAAATTTCTCTCTCTGCCCCAATTCAATTGAAAGACAAAGGAGAGCATTTGAAACCAATTTTATAAATTGTTTATGTATCATCTCCGTAGATGATCTTTCATTATGTTTAACTCTGTAAATTACCACAATACCATTAATTTCAGTACACCTTCTACACTATTTCTTTCAATCGGCTTTGTGACAAGTGACATACGTACGTGTGAAATTCTAACAATTTATAATTTTGAAACACTAATCACTTGACAGAGCACTTAGTGAGAAGAAAACGTCATCTTTGCAGCTATAGCCATTTGATGCAGTTCAAATATTTTAAAATAAAATTGCAAATGGAAACCACTGTTAATAAATTTTACAAGCTATCTTTACAGAGTTTGTATTTTTACTTGATCAGTTAAAAGAAGTAGTGGTAATAGGAGCTGAATTTCCCCAGTTGGTTCATGGTCCCCACTGTCAGCCTTAATTTTGGTTTAGGAAACCAGAAACAGCAGTGTCATCATTTAAATGAGGCATTGACAGCTCTGCTGTCGAGAGTTCACTTCTAAGCAACAGCCAGGCTTTGGCATCAGCAGGGAACCTCTCTACCTTCGTGAAAATCCTGGTGGTGCCACTAATTTGTATCCAAGTGATCACTTAATTTAATGTAATTAGCTCACTGCCACTATCAAGTGGGTAGCTGATGCCGTTTAAATCCTGTTTCCGACCAGATAGCTTGAAAGTGGGTTCACACAGAGTTGCAATCCTTAGATGAGATTCTCGCCTTTTGCTCCTGGTCCTGTCGCAACCTTCGATACATGGGCCAGTAAGATTTGGTGGTAGTGTAAATAGTCCATCTTGCTCAGGAGCAGTGTAAAACTTCTTTATTACAGTAAAGTAACAAAATGTTAAGGAGAAAGATTTCCCAAAAGCTCAAATAAAAGCAAACCTGCCACAGTAAATGGCAAAAAAAAAGGAATAAACCTAGGAACAGATCAGACAATGTATTATGTAGATATATATGGGTATATCTTAGAAAAATGCTGAGCAGCAGTCTTCACAAACATTATTACATAAACTCTTGCTAGATCACAGTAAGATGATGGATTTATCTATTGATAGTCATCTACCAATTTTACATTGGAGAAAAAAATGTAAATTGATAAATAAATAGTGAGTATGTGTAATAGCTGAGAAAGTTAAGATCAAAAATAAAAAGTGAAACAGAACTGAAGAACAAACTGGCTCTCTATTGTGCTTTTTCCCCATTGCTTGGTTCCCGTCCTCTTAACAGTGTGAGGCTAAAGCAATCTGTTCACATTGTTGGCATCTCATTTGACCATAACATAATGTTCCGACCAGATCTCATGCCATCATTTAGCACGACTTTATTCACCTCTGTAATATCACAAGATTTGTTTCTATCTCAGCTTATCTGCCGCTGAAACCCTCATTACACCTTTGTTATCTCTAGACTTCATTATGTTAATGCACTCCTGGCTGATTTCTCACATTCTACCTTACATAAATTTAAGGTCATTCCAAAACTTGATCACCCATGTCATAACCCGCATGATGTCTTCATCAGCTATCGACCCTCTGCTCACTAATAAACATTGGCTGCCTTGATTTTAGGATCCTTATTCTTGTTTTCAAATCCCCCCTTGGTTTTGCTCCTCCCTATTTCTGTAACCTGCTCTGACATGGCTTCTCTAATTCTGACCTCTTATGCTTCTCCAATTTAAATTGTTCCAAAATCATGCCTTCAGTTGCCTAAGGACTAAGCTCTGGAACTTGCCACCCTACATCTCTTTGCCCTTTTACCACAATTTTCTTCTTTTTAACAAAATCCTACCTCTTGATTGAAGTTTTCATTATCTGACTGCATATTTCCTTACGTAGCTCTGTGTCATACTTTGTTTTATACTGCTTCTGCAAAGGGCCATTGAGCATTTAAATAAAGGCATAATACAATTATAAGTTACTGTGGTGGTTGTTGTTAACTAGATAATGACACTTTCTACATTTAACAACAGAACTCAATGTATGGAAAGCATGGTGATATGTAGTTGGGGGTTAGTAAGACGCAGGTCCAAAGTTAAATTTGTCCTTCCAGTTAGAAGATAGTGAAGTGTCAAAGCATTGCAATATTATTTGTACTATGCATTAAACTCAAAAATCTTCGGAACACATATTTAAACATTAATTAAATGAGCTTGCATTTATTGACCATTCTAATTGCTTGAGAAGGTGGTGGTGAGATGCTACTTGAATTGCTGCAACCTGTCATGTGTTGGTCCTCCCACAACATTGTTAGTTAGGGAGTTACAGGATTTTGACCTGGCAATGATGAAGGAATAATGATGTATTTCCAAGTCAGAATAGTTTGTTGGAAGGAAACGCGTTCTCATACATCTGCTACCCTTATCCTTTGAGGTGACATAGGTCATGCATTTGGGAGATGCAAGTGAAGAAATCTTAATGAGTTGTTGCCACAGTACACAACTGGTGGAGGAGTTAAATGTTTAAGGTGGTGGATGTGCTGTCAATCTAATGAACTGCTTTGTTTTGGATGATGTCAAGCTTCTTGAGTGTTGTTGGAGCTATTGTCACCAGGTAACAGGAGACTATTTAATCACATACTTGACTTATGGCGAGTAGTATTGGCTTTCGGGAGTTTTTCGGGAGCTGAGTCATTTGACAAAGAATATCCAGCCCTTGATCCGCTGTGGCTGATCCAGTTAAATATCTGGTCAATGATGACTCACACCCCAAGATCTTGATGGCATGAATTTTGTTGATGAGGTCAGCCAGGTGGACCTCATAGAATATGGGTTCCCTGTCTGGGGCTGTCAACTGGTCCAATCAGAGAGCCCTGGCTGACAGATATAAACAGGAGTGTCAGAGGTTCTGTTCACTCTGACAGCTGCTTCTAAGGAAGCTTGATCAGTGTCAAAGACTCTCCATGTGTGAATAAAGGATGACCAGCCTCTATGGAATTACTTCATTAATGCCATTGAATGTGAAGTTGATATGTGACTTGACTGTCACTAGTTGATGGTAATTACCTGGAACCTGCATGGTTCAAATATTACTTCTTGTTTAATCACCTAAAGCCTGTCAGACATTGCTACATGCCAGAAAGGTGCTTCATTATCTTAGGAGAATTGAACATCATTCTCAAAATATCCTCACACCTGACCTTATGCTAGATTTCGATGAAGCAGCTGAAAATGGTTGGGACCTGAGGCACTCCCGCAGTGATGTCTTGGGGATGAGGTGAATCATCTCTAAATCAATAAGCATCTTCCTTTATGATATGCATGACTCCAATCAATTGACTTTTCTCCCCAGTTCCCACTTTTGTTATGGTTTCTTGATGCCACAATCCACCAAATGATGGGTTGGTGTCAAGGATGGTTAATCTCAGCTCATCTCTCAAATTTAGCTTATTAGTCCATATTTAGGTCAAGTTCATAATGAGTTCTAAAAGTGAACGTCCTGGTAGCTTACAAACTGAATACTGGCAAGCAAGTGATTAGTGAGTAAGCACCACTTTATAGCATCGTGTAGCATGAATGCCACTGGTCAGCCCAAGCCTCAATGTTCTCCAGGTCTTGTTGCATGCGGACATGAACTGCTTCATTATGTAGGGAGTAAAAAACACAACTGAACATGCACGTGTCAGTGAATGGCTACACCTCTGACGTTAAGGCAATCAATAGCAAAACAGGTCCAGATGCTTGGACCTAGGACCTGCCCCCAGGAACAGCCAAAATAACGTCCTGGAGTTAAGTCGATTGGTCTCCCACAACCACAGTTATCGTTCTTTGTGTCGACATGGTTTGAGCTAGTGAAGAGTTTTCTCAATGACTCCTATCAACTTCAAATTTGTTGGAGCTCCCTAATGCTATACTCAGTCAAATCTTGCCTTGACAACAAGGGCAATCATTGTCACCTCATGAGTGACATTTAAATCTTTTGCCCATCTTCGAACCAAAGCTGTAAATAATGTCTACAGTAAGGTGATCCCAACAAAACCCAAAAGGGCTTTCTATTATAATTCAAGTTAAAATTTGGGATAATTCCTTTTGAAAGATTACGCTGTAAAGATGCAATGTTTCAGGATTGATTTTGGATACACAGTCCTATTTTCACATAACTTTGTGATTATCTCACCTTTTGAACAGAAGTATAGCAATAACAATGATGATAATTAACACAACAGCAAGTACTGGTCCCATCACCCACAGCATCTCAGGATCGTCTTGTGCATTTGGCGATGAGGTTACCTCCACCAGAATTGTATCAGAGTAGGGGCTAGCAGCATACATCTGCTGAACAGAAAAAGAACATGAAATAAATAGAATTAACATCTACAGCATTTAATGAAATGATGCAGATTATTTTACCCCATGGTTATTATCGAATTAAGACATCATACTTTAATAAAATAAAAAATGTCAGTTCCCCACCTAAGTGAATAGAAAATTATTATAAAGCTTTTCTAATTAAGCATTTTTCTAAGTTTGTCTTCTCCTAAACACAAGAATCAGGCTTTGGTTCTTCAAACTGTTCAGTGCACTTTGGTGCTTGAAGTAGCAATCGCCTCTTGTGAAACTAACACAGTGAATGTGAGTTGTTTATTTGATTTTGGAGATGGGGGATACGAGACAAGTTCCCTTCTAACAGACTTAGTAAGAGGTGAGTGGTGAAAACCTGCAAAGGGAGCACTAGCAGATCTAAGCCCTCAGCAGCTGTGGGAAACTGAATTCAAATCTACTGCATCATCACAACTCCAGCATAAGAACATATCATGAGCAATGGAAGTGAAAGGATACATTAGGAAAAGGTGAAATAATTAGATAGGACAAGCACTGATAGAGGCATAGAATTGAAAGAAATTTGTGGTACTCAGTTGAACAGCCCCCATTCCGTGATGACATGTTGAGGCATACCATGATAGAAAATACAGACTAACCACAATCCTTCTAATATCCTTGACTGTAGAGGTTGCGGCAGAGGTTTGGGAACTTGCCAATGCAACATTTCTATTGAAAAACGGACAAAGGAATAAACCATTATCTACACTCAGCCTCACATCAGTATGTTTTTAGTGGTTACAATTTGAGGTTACAGTAACAATTTGCCTAGAAATATCAGGTAATTAAATACAACTTGTATGTGAGAAATGCTATAAATCCTTTTCAGAGATTTATCAGTATATTGATAAAGGAAATTAAGTGGGTGCTATATACTTTCCAAATGTATTTGATAAATTTCCATATAGAAGGTTGTTGATAAAGTTAAGACATATGGTAAGAAAGAGGGGTATCGTACATAAAGTTGATTTTTAATGAGATAGAGAGAGAACAACGGAGAGAGATTAATAGGCAATCTTTAGAATCCAGAGACGTAAACGTAAATGTAAGGAAGGATTTGGAAAAAAAAAATAAACAAAATCATAATGCAGATTTTGAAGTTCACATACACATCTCAGAACATGGATAGTGAAAATGCTATTAAAGAAAATCATAAGATTGTTCACAAAGGGGGCATAAAATACCAAAAGTAAGAGATGACATTAAGTCGATGCAAAACATTGGTTAGGCCATTGTTAAAATATTACTTGCAGTTTTGAGAGCCTTCTTAGGGGATGAATTACGAGGAAATTCTTGAGAAACTGGTCTTTTTTATTTGTTTATGGGTTATGGGTATTGCTGGCTGGGTTGGCATCTATTGTCCATACTGAATTGCCCCTTGAACTCTGTAGCTTGCTAGGGCTATTTTAGAGGGTAGTTAAGAGTCAACCATGGGATGCAGGTACAGTTACAACGTTTAAAAGACATTGGATAAGTACATGAACAGGAAAGGTTTGGAGGGATATGGGCCAAACGCAGGCAGGTGGCCTAGTTGATTGGGATTAGTTTGGGAACATGGTCGGTATGGCCTAGTTGGACCAAAGAGCCTGTTTTCATGCTGTATGATCCTTCCTTACATTTCTCAGCATTAATTTTCACATCACATCTATGCACCCAACATGCTAACCGTCCATACCCTCAAATTCACAATTAACCATGATGTCAGCAGATTTTGATATTGTACTCTTCTACTCAAGTCCAAATTGCGTGCACACACACCCATCTAAGGATATGTTAATGCATAGATACATAGTCAGAGTGAAAAGCAATGGTTGGAAAGCCAACAGTCTGACAAAGGTGAGCAATTGTTTACGTCCCTGGGTTCTAAAGATCACCTATGACTCTATCTGGAATCACATGTGGCCAATCAGGTAAGGGTGATAGGCTTCCTTCTGCAGGGCCATAGTGAACCAGATGGGGCATTATGAGAGTCATTAGATTAGTTTATAATTCCAGATTTTAATGAATTCAAACTTCACCAAGTACCATGGAGGAATTTGAGCCCAAGTCCCCAGAACATGAGCCATGTGTTTTGGATCACTAGTCCAGTGACATTACTACGACACCACAGCCCCCTTACCTTCACCCTTCTATTTCATTACAACAAACTGAAATCTGATGGATAATCAAATTTACAAGGGATTTTGTAAAGGTAAATGAGGGAAGGGCATTTTTATTGGTTGGTGAGTCAGTGGCAGACATTTATGGAGGTGCAGTTAGCTTGTATACCCAAAAGGCAAGTTCTCTGGAAGTCAATCTGCTCCTTCTAAGTCTGCCCTGCAGCCATATTGTTCTGCAGATGGGCTAAATTGGTTAACACCGTGGCATCTACTCCTCACTTAGCAGGAAGTCCTTCCCTCGGAACTAGCCAATAGCTCCATCACTCATGGCAGCACCAGATCTCAAGTAACAAGTACTACTAGGACAGCACGAAGGACCCAGAAGAGGCCAGGCTGCCCTGAGAAGGTTAGTCCTGGAGTTTCATGTATGGGAAAGATCGTATAGCTCAGGGAACAGGGAGAGATGGGTGGGGACAGGTTTTGCTGGGCAGCAGCAAGGAAATGTGAGGTGGCATCTTGGGTTGGGACTGCTTCCCCAATACACTTGGGGCACCACCAAAATGAAACATCCCCAATCCTTCCTGCCTTTGTTCACACAGGTGTCTGAAAACCAGCTGCCCAGTCGTGTTTGACACTGCACCCCAATATAATGTAAACTAAAATACTTAAGATTGAATAAGACAAAATGAAATATGATGCCCAATGTCCAGACAACTCATAGTCCAGTTTATATCAGTTCAAATTCAAATGACACTGAATTGTTAGAACAGCCTACAATCAATAAGCAGGGTTATTGCTTTTTGTTATTTTTAAAACCAGCAGTTTATGACATAAAACAAAATATTGCTTTTATTGTCCAACAGTCTACCGCCCAGTGGCTCTGACCTCAATAATCATGAAGTGCTTCGAAAGGTTGATCATGACCCACATCAACTCCAGTTTCTCAGCCTACAATTGGCCTACCAAAGCAACAGGTTCACAGCGGATGCTATATCCCTAGCCTTACACTCATCCCTGGAACATTTGGAAAACAAAGACAGCTACGTCAGACTCCTGCTCATTGACTACAGCTCTGCCTTCAACACCATTATCCCCTTCACATTGATCTCAAAACTCCGTGACCTTGGTTTTGGCTCTGTGCTCTGCAACTAGATCCTCAGCTTTCTGATCCACAGACCGCAATCAGTGAAGATAGGTAACTGCACCTTCTCTACAATAACACTCAACAATGGAGCACCCCAAGGATGAGCCCTCAGTCCCCTACTGTACTCCCTGTACACCCACGAATGTGTTGCCAAATTCCAAACGAACGCCATCTACAAGTTCGCTGACAACACCCTTGTAGTGGGATGGAGATCCAGCAACGATGAGTCAAAATACACTGGGGACATAGAGGGCTTCGTGATGTAGTGCAATCTCCCTCTCAATGTCAGCAAAACTAAAGAACTGTTCATTGACTACAGAAAGAAAGCTGGAGAACATGTCCCCATCTACATCAAAGGAACTGAAGTTAAGAGGGTGGAGAATGTCAAGTTTCTTAGAGTGACAACAACCAGCAACCTGAATGGACTTCACACGGGGATGCACAACAATACCTCTTCTTCCCCAGGTGGATCAGGAAATTTGGCACGTCCGTAAGGACCCTCAACTACTTCTACAGATCCATCATTGAAAGCATGCTTCCAGGTGCATAACAGCCTGGTATGGCAACTGCCCTGCCCAGGACCGTAAGAAACTAAGAAGTTTGTGTGCACAGCCCAGACCATCACGGAAGCCAACCTTCTATCGGTAGGCAGAAGATACAGAAGCCTGAACACATGCACGAGCAGATTTAGGAACAACTTCTTCCTCGTCATTATTAGACTGATGAATGGACTCTCTAGCCTCAAATAATGCTGATCTCGATAAGGTTGATCTCACCTACAGCACGCGCTGTGCAATGTAACCTGTGTGCCTCTGTCTAAGTCTTTTTGATCTGTATATCCTTGCTCACTATGATCTGCCTGAACTGCTTGTAAACAAAGCTTTTCACTGTACTTCGGTACACATGACAATAATCAATCACTTTACAAACATCTGCCTCACAAAAATTTGCAAAATAATCCCACTGTAATGCCCAGAGTTTTAATGTACTCTGGACAGCAACATTAGTTCATAGTTAATATCAGGATTTAATCAGATTTAACCAATAACCAACATTCCCTAATTATAAACTGATAAGAATTACATTGCTTAAAAAACACAACAGAAGGTAGAAAAATAGACTGGCAATAATAAGGATATGTAGCAAGTTTCTCAGCTAGCCTGTACTAATTCTGAATTGCGATTCTGTGCAAAAAATTAGTGATTAAGTAACTTTTTTTGAGGTCCTTCAAGCAAGAAATTAAGCCACTTGTACGAATCAACAAGTCCTTACATTGCCAAATTACTGCAACATTTATATAAATTTCAAAACCCATCAACTGTTCGTACAATTCTCTTATTTATAAACCTCAAGAGCCTGATAAAACCACTTTCTTTGGCATTACTTCACACTACAGAACTAATTGCCTGTGCAAGATGGTCTCCCCTGAAATATGACTACATTAAACTGTAATTCAATACAAGAGGAATGTTTCTTTCTTGCAAACAGATAAATTTAGTGTCAATTTTTCTTTGGTGCTGTGTGACAATACACGGAATGAAATCTGGGCTGATGAATAATACAGAATTTGACCAGTTCTAATGAGCCATCACAGAAAAACGAACTCAGAGCCTGTAGGAATGTTAGCAGAAAATAAGCATCTTGATGTCCACATCAATGTTTTGTGTGAGTCCTCAGTACACAACCCAACTGCAGCAGGTACAATTCTTTGC